GAGGAAAAGTACTTTTTCCTCGTAAGCTCCTCCTAAATTTACTAAGGTCTTACGAGGAAATTGTTTCCTCGTAAGTTTTCGAGGAGCTTACGAGGAAATTTGCTTTCCTCGTAAGATCCTAGTAAAGGCTTAGTAAATTTACGAGGAAGAATTTTCCTAGTAAAATTTCCTAGTAAATGCTTTGTTTTCTTGTAGTGGAAATAAAGCACCAACTTTCTTATAATCAAAAAAATATTCAATTTTTGTTGACAAGCCATTTTAATCACAAACTTTGGTCGACCATACCAATTTAGTCATATCGTTAGTCAACACTTATAGTTGACATTTTAATCACAAACTTTGGAAGACCATACCAATTTAGTTATATCGTTAGTCAACAGTTATAGTTGACTAACTGTAGGCCTAAGATAGCTTTTAAAGTTGATGTGTTTTTTGGCACAAATATAAATCAACATTTTTTTTTCAATTTAAAATATTGAAACTTAACACTAATAAATAAAATTGCAAAAATAAATTTCAACCAATAAGATAAACATAACTCAATGTAAAATAATTAATTAACATATATCGTTAATTGAGTTTTATAGTTAAAAATGATTATGCAATTTTTCATTATTTATGAGTAATTTAAAAAAAATATTTATATAATCCTACTCGGATTATGTTTTATAATTTTACCGTCAAAAAATTATTAGTGAAATATTAATTTAGTTCTTGATTTTTTAAACAAAAAAAAGTTATCGGATAACAAAAGAGTTATCGATTTTGATGAAACACATTTTTCTTTAAATGCATCTCGTAAAAAGTTTATAGAAAATATATAGATTATTTTGAAGATATTTATTATAAATATAAAGAATCATGAAGAATTCATTAACCGATAACTCTTTTCATTTAAGAATCAAGCGATGAATTAATATCATCAAAACAAATTTAAAAATAAAATTATAAGAACATAATTCAAAAAGGATTATATAAACAATTAAAATATTATCATTATTTTATAACTAAAATACTCAATTAATGATATGTTAACTAATTATTTTACATTGAGTTCTATTTATAATTTTTATTGGAATTTTTTTATTTATAATTTTATTTATTAGTGCTTCAGTTATAAAATATTTAAAATATTTAAAATATATCCATTATTGTATAAAAATATTGATTTATATTTGTGCCAAAAATACATCAACTTTGAAAGTCATCTTAGACCTACCGTTAGTTAACTATAACTGTTGACTAACGATATGACTAAATTGGTATAGTTGATGAAAATTTGTGATTAAATGACTTGTCAACAAAAGGTAAGTATTTTTTGGCTTACAAGAAAATTGATGCTTTATTTCAATCAAATTTAAAAATTGCTGATTTAATGACAATTTTCCCGTTTTGTTTTAGCAAAACACTAAATAGTGTTTAAAAAAAATCTGCAGCTTACCCGACACCTCGACGCTACACATTTAAAAATTATGGTAATTATTTTAAGTCGTAAAACTTATAATTTAATAATAAAATATTATAATTATAATAATTTATTTATTATGTTATTATTCATTTACTATGTTATAATTATAATAATTTATTTATTATGTTATAATTCATTTATTATGTTATAATTATAATAAAATAATTATTTTAATTCAAAATACAATATACTATATTATGAATTTAGTATATTGGTTTCTTACGACAAGAAAATCCTCTCACTCAATTTATTCACTATGTGCACGAAGGCGTTAATTGCGAATATAAAAAAAAAGGCAGAAAGAAAGAAACAATTTACAGGAATAAAAGTTGTATGAGCTTATCTATCAGTATCGTTTTCTATTTGCAAATGATAGTTTATTTTTTTGTAAGTCAGAGATAGAGAAATGTTATACTACTTTCAAAATTCTGAAAGAATACGAGGCGCTGCTTGGTCAGTTGATAAATTGCATATTTAAACCACTTAATTTGATCAGATATTTAAGTATTAGACGTTGAGTTACTCTCAAGTAGCCATCTAGTACTTTTCAACACTATCAAAAATAAATAAATATTGTCTATGTGGTAAAATATGTGTTTTTAGGATTCTTAGACATATAATTTTAAAAAATAATTATTAAAATAACTAATTTGTTAATATATAATAACTGTATAGAAATGTTAAATATATATTTTACAAAAATTCTAAAATATGAACTTTTCAGAAGTACAAATTAAAACTTATGCACTAAAATAAAGAAAGAAAAGTCACTTTTTCAAAAAAAAAAAAAAGAAAAAAAGAAAAAAAGAAAGAGAAGTCAAACGTAAGTAAGATATAAAAAGACAAGCATTCATTAGCTAATATGAGAATTTTGCTTTGCACACCTCTAGGGTGATGTGAGGGGGTTATTATGTCAACTTGTAGCGCAGAAACCTAGTTTAGTGAATTTTATCTAAAACTATATATTCACTATGTATCAATATAAGTGGTTTTTAAGATTTTCGGAATTACCATTTTGGTTTACAGAATCTTCATAGACTATGTTTATGTTGATGAAAGAAAAAAAGATTATTGTTTCTCTAAAAACAATAATAATTACAACTAATTCAACCAATATAATTCATACTGCAGAATAAAAATAGTTATAAACATTAAATAACATTTATTTTTATATAGAAACTTGAAAACATTATTAAAAATGAATCAATCAACACCATAAAACATGATTACTGAATGATTTATGTATTCCTAAATTACCCTTAACCTTATGAACAAATTAAATGTATATTAATGGCATTTTAGTTATTTTTATTTGGGCCTTAAAACTATATACTAATGAGTTTCATTAATGGGTTGATTCTCTTTCAAATTTTATTAAAAAAATCTTGCAAAAATATATTTTCTTTGCAGGTCAGGCGGGTCAAAATTTTCAGTTGACAAAAGGACTCAACTCGCTACGGAGCGGGTTGGACGAGATGGGTCGGACTGAGCGATTGAAATTTTGTAACTTAATGATTTTACGAATTGATGACAAAATTAAAAAAAAATTGGACCATTTAATTGTTAAATATACAATCATCCTCAAGTAAACATTTTAGGTACAATAATTGTTAACTTATTTAGAAACATAAAAAATTGTCTAAGACATTATAAAATAAAATTTCTTATACCCGCATAATAATTTGATCTTGGTTCTGTGACATTTTATATCATCAAAGCAAAAGACTTATCGATCTATTTGTAGATAAAACAAAAAAAAAATAGTACCCACACCTTTTAAGCGCTAGTCAAAAATCTAATTTTTTTAAAACACCCTTTAAAGTGATACGGAGGAAGTAATAATCAGTTGCTCAAAACAAAAGGGAGAAATAGTTTAATAAACTTATTGTTCATGACTAATAGTTGAATATTGTGTACCTAAATAAATATTATTTATTTAAAATATAAGCAAAATATTTTGTAAACGTCTTTATACTCTAATTAGTTATACAATTTGATATTTTATAGAAACATAGTGTTATAACTAAATTAAATTAAAAAATAATTACTTTGATAAAATAAAACAAAAGGTAAAAACATCACAGCATATCATAACTAATCACCTAATTTAAAAACTAAAAATAATAATCACCTTATTTGTGCAATGTTGCAAGAGAGAATAGAGTGATAAGAGGGAGAAGATGGAAAAACAGAGTAACTTAAATATATCATGAAAATCATCTTTCGAATAAAATTGAAATATTTTCTTTTTTTTTGGATAATTCAGTGTATTCTGGCATCCACCAAGGTGAATCCAAATTAGCGGCGAGTATTCGTAACAGTTTATGTTATTCGTAACAGTTTATGTTATCAGTCAGAGTACGCCTTGGTCAATGGATGCTGGGGGAGCCCAGATTTTAAATTTTATTCCCAGTAACCAGTGGGATTCGAATCCGGATCCTATTGGAGCCGAAACTCCCTCAAGACTACTGACCGTCTTCGCTGGTTAAATTGAAACATTTACGTGTATATATGATATGAATATTCACGCATATTCTTTTCTTTGTGTTTAAACTTCATCTTGCTCAACAGCAGCAAACGTTCTATTTTTTGACATGAATTACATCCCTCCAACAATGCTCATTAAGGAAACTAAAATTGGCCCAATTGACTAAGAGACTGTAAGAAAATGCCGATTTGAAAGAAAAAGAAAAGAAGTCAGCTATAAAAAGAGAAACCCTAGATCAAAGAGAGGACATTCGAATTCACAATCACACAGAAGTTGGCACAAAAACTAGGTTTTACCTAGTTTATCGTTTTTCCCGAGTTCATAGTTCTTAACAATCTCATCATATTTTTCCTTGTAATCATCATTTGAATAATCTATAAACGTTTTTTCTAATAATTCACCATCGAATTCGTTCTACTTTCGGTACGTGCCAAACTTGAAATTAAACAAGTACACTCTTTTATCCAACTCCTTAGCCTACCAATATCTCCTGTTGGCCCATTGACTTCAATTTCTCCACTTCATACTTATTCTTCACCCCTTTCTGTTGATTGTTTACTTTGAAAGTAAAACCTTTGAACCTTCCCAGAATTGTCCATGGAATAACGTCACATCACATGTGATTAAATCTTAACTGTGTATATAACTCCTGTCAAAATCACGAGAGTACAGCTGTCACGTCAACCTCGTAGGGAATATTTATTTGGTCGATCGTACAGAAAGGCATCCCTCTCAAGTAACCGATCGAAACAATTCTCTTCCCAAAGCCAATCTCCAGATTCTCCGGTCACAAGGAAAATGTCAGGTAACGCTGCCCATCTTTTTTGCGTCTTCTTTTTATCGATTTTTGTTAGCATAATATAATATAATGTTTTATATAGGATCAAGTGATGTTTCTCGGAGCTTGTGGCTGGCACAGAATCCGAGCAAGAGATGGGGGGAGCTCTTCTTCCTCTTCTACACTCCTTTCTGGCTCACTCTGTCCTTGGGAATCATTGTTCCTTACAAGCTTTACGAGGTCCGGTTTATTTTAAAATTTTCAATATGTTTCTATATGAATGCTACAGATCACGGAGTTGAATTTATATTGCCAACTAGCAGACGTTCACGGAGTTGGAGTATCTGCTTGTGGCCTTGGTTTCAGCTGTTCCCGCTTTCGTGATACCAATGTTACTTATTGGAAAGGTTGTACTTAACAACACTGCTACACAAATTTCTTTTCATTATTAAACCAAAAAAAAAAAAATTATTTTCATTAATCCTTTTTTTTTTAATTTTGTCGCTTTAACTTGGATTAGAAGGTACTTTAATGGAAAATTTTAAAAACAATCTAATTGTATATTTACGAAATGCGCTCACTTGTTAACTTGTAGTTTCAGTGTGAGCAAACATGTTGACTTTTTGTTCAGTGTGAGAAAACATGTTGACTTGTTCTTTGCCCATGATTATCTACTTTTGTCTCTAACTGATAGTAAACCACTATATATATCTTCTTCCTTTCTTCAGGCCGACAGAGGCTTATGCTGGAAGGACCGTTATTGGGTTAAGGCAAGCTTTATTCCTTCTATGTTTAAAGCTATTGTGTTTACTAAAGCACATGTAGAGAAACTCTCACTGCATATTTCTTAAGTATTTTTCCTAAACATAATTACTATAGCAGAAATTCTTACACATATATTACAACGAGAAAAATCTCTTATTATTTATTCAACAATTTTTTTTATTATGTTTTTGGCATTAATAAAGTTTAGTTTACTATGGTGCCTTTAATTAATTTCTTAATAAACACAGTGGTTGAAATTCATCCATTATTGTATCAACTAAGGACTTTATTTCTTCCACAGGCAAATCTTTGGATACTTATTTTCAGCTATGTGGGAAACTACTTTTTGACTCACTATTTCTTCCAAGTTCTTGGAGCGTCATATACTTTTCCGTCGTGGAAAATGAATAATGTAAGCAAACATACATTCTGTGCTCCGTTGTTTGTGTTTGTGTTTGTGTGTTTGTTTATTGTTTCCATGAGCTCATGATGGCACGTTTTTGTGTTGAACAGGTGCCTCACAACACATTCTTCATGGCACATGTTTGTTTCCTCTTTTATCATGTTGCATCCAACATTACTCTTCGAAGGCTACGACATTCCATTTCTGATTTACCAGATTCTCTGAGATGGTGTTTTGAGACTGCATGGATATTGGCCTTTTCTTATTTCATTGCATACCTGGAGACTATTTCTATTGTAAATGTATGTTGCCATGTTCATCTTTTATTGTTTCAGTAAAGTTCAAATCAGTCTAGAATATTTTTGTTTTGTTTTTAAACATGTGCAGTTTCCTTACTATGAATTCGTGGACCGAAGTGCCATGTACAGAGTTGGATGTTTGTTCTATGCCTTGTACTTCATTGTGAGCTTTCCAATGTTCTTCAGGTAAAGAGACGCCTTAAACAAGACTGTTGCCTATCGAAATTAGTCTTTAATGTTTCTCTGTCCTAGTTTTTTTCATCTCCTTCTTCCATTTAGAGAATACTTGAACTCCTTTTTCATATGTGCTTTTTCATTGGCAATGGTGGTATTGCAGGATGGATGAGAAATCAAGTGATGAATGGGATTTGTCACGTGTGGCTATTGATGCTTTAGGTGCTTCTATGTTAGTAACGATCATTCTTGATCTATGGCGCCTATTCTTGGGACCTATAGTGCCCATACAAGATGGAAAATGTTGCCTTCAGCCTGGATTACCATGGTTCTCCCACTGAAGGTTGAAATATGGCTGCTTCGACCAGTCTGCACTTTACAGAATTTGGAAGTATGTGATACGATTATACTTTTTTATTTTTTCCTTGTGCCTGCTGCTTTGATACATTTTATCCAGTTCCTACTTGATATGTTTTACTTTACTATGAGAGGTCTGGTAGATTTTAGATATCTGAAAGTATGTAAATCCAAATGAACACCGAAACAGAGTATAACTTTGAATCATCACGATCTTGAGCTCACACTCAACGTTCTTCTCTTCTTTACTTCAGTTTAACTGCAAAGCTTCTAGAGCAACTAAAGTGTTTGCTTCCTCAGAAACTACCACGTCATCCTCCTTCTTATTCACAAGCTTCACTCTCTTACGAACATATTACCGTTGAAACTTATCAATACTCACCCCCCCCCCCTTTCTAGAAATCAAGTTTCTTAAAATCTAATTATAATTTTGTACTTATTAAACATCTATTTGAGTGTTTAATTTTGATATATTCGAAAAAATCAAGTAAAAATATACAATTTTGAACTTGATGGAAAACAAATTATTCAAAATTGATTATAGAAGCAGATACCACAAAATTATAAGGGACTTTTGCTAAAAAGGGATAAAAAAATATGCATTTTTGTCCTTTTAGTACAAACTAATCTATTTCTTCCTTATAATGATAAATTTTTCAAAGTATCATCTCAGAATCTTTTACCATTCTTCAGTTACATTACATGTTAGCTGGTTGGAAAAGTACAAGATTGGACAGGAACTGGGAGCAAGAGGGAGCACTGGATCAAGTTGTGCTGAAAATATTTTAATACCTATTCAATCAAGTTGCATATCTAACTTGAAATATTTTTTTGTTATATAATTCATTAGATATTATTTTCTTTTATAAGTTTTAAAACATCAATATAAATAAAATATCACTGAATTTAAGAAATAAACGTATAAAAAAGATCCATATTCCGTGTTTAATCTAAATCAATTCTGGTTCAAAAATTCAGTTTGCTTACAATTAAAATAAAAACAGAAAATAATAATAAGATAAAATATTATTTATAAAAACAACAATGATAAACATAGTGAAAGTTAAAATAACTTATAACTGAAAATAAATTACACGTTTAAGGGGGGGGGGGGGTTATTGAGATGACTTTGTGTAGAGTTTGTGAATTTTAAAAGTTGATAGATTTATAAAGTTACGTTGATTATGAAAATATATATGTTGACTTGTTAAATTTGATCATACTTTTCTAGATTGCAACAAATTTTCATGAACTTGTATTTTTTTCATCTTTTCTTTTGTAAAATAAATATATGATTTGTTTTTTGAGAAAAATCACTAGTATAACTTATTATAAGTTTTTATCACAAAAGAAAAAATTCAAAGTAGAAAGGACCAAAAGAGATTTTTTAGAAGGTTTAATGTACTCTCATACCCTTAAGAGCAGGAGGGTGCTTAATTTTTTTTATTTTGTTTTTGTTTTCTCGGATTTAAAAAAAATAGAAAAAGGACCAATCGCGACGTGTCGTTGGGCCCACCGAACAGTCCAAGCAACAAGTATAATCGGGCGCTTATGGAGACATCAGAAGCGCTAGTGTTTCAGAATTGTGTGGGTCGACCCCCTACTTTTTGTCCTAAGCACCTCATTTTTTCTAGCGATAACATTGCTCTTAAGGTCAACTAATTCTAAACTTTTTTATTTAGAGTTAAGGGGTAGGGTTTTAGAAGTGAGGTTTAAAATATTAAAAAATAGAAAAGTAAATATTAAAAATTTAAAAAATAATTTCAAGAAGAATCTTCAAATTTCAAAAAGAATTTTTTTAAAAAAAAATGAAAAACAAATTTTGAAAAAAGTTTAGTAAACGTTTGAATTTGAAAACATATAAAAACATAAAAAAATATTATTTGTTTTTTATCTTTTTATTTTTATTTTATAATTATATATTTATTATTTTTATTTCAAAACAAAAGAGTAGAAAAATATTTTGGTCTTTAATGAAACTTCTTTTGGTCACTTTTATATATTATTTTAGTTTTTATTTTTAAACAAGATAAAAATATAATTAATACATTAACAGGTAAGTAAATAAAAATGTAATGAATTATAATTTGAGACAAATAATTTTGACTGAAAGTGAAATATATATTTGGTAAGAAAAATTATTTTGTTTTTAGATGTTTTAATCACAAGGATTTTGAAAATGTCATGGATACATATGATATTTTGAAAGTTGTGTGTTTATGTGTTAAAAAGTAGAAAATTCATCTCCCAATAACACTATATTTACTTATAATTAGAAAATCAATAATGACTATATTTTTTGAATAACAAGGAGTTTGAATTGATTTTAAAAATTCTTAAACCAATAATAGTGAATTTACTAATAGTGTTTTCAAAGGTCAGTACTATAGGAATGCTTCAACTCTAGAACCAGTCCGATCATATTCTCCGTCTTATGGCTGGAGTATAATGATCCATGACTCCCAAACTACTCATCCGAGACCAGCAAATAAAAATCAACATACTCTTTACCCGGAACACACAGTAGATTTCTCATTAATACTACTACGCGAACTTGGAATATACTGGCTATTCGGGCTCTAATCGACCCCCATGATGCAAAGGTTATAGAAAGTATACCACTTAGCAGGACTCAGATGGAAGATAGGGATGGATGACATTTCACTAAGAATGAAAAATACAGGGTTAAGTCAGGATATCAAGTCGAATGAGTGTACCTAGACAAAGAGAAACCGCCTGAATTTTAGGCCCCACGGTGGTTTTATTAAAGGCATTTTGTTAGCTGGTAAGGTGTCCTTCAAAGACAAAACATTTTTAATGGCAATTACTATCGGGTTGTATAGATATGAAGAAAAAAATTTGATAGTGCGAAGGATACAAGAAAATAGGTTGTGACAGATGTGGATCTGCAGAAGAATCGATTAACCATGTATTTTTTGATTGTCTTCCAGTACGGTAAGTCTGGGCATTGTCAAAGTATCCTTCCAATCCGGAAATTTTCCTACCAGCTCTCTCTTCACAAATATGGATCATTTACTGGCGAGTTAGACCAAAAATGGATGACATCAATTCGCATGGATATTGTGGTTTATTTTGGAAAAGACAGAATAATAAGATTTTTAGCAATTTGGATATTGATCCTAGGGATACGAATAATTTGCCAGAAACACAATCAATCCTTTGGAAGGAAGCACAAATGGAACCTTCTCAGAGAGCAACACAACAAGGAGAGTGATCTACTATACCATCCATATCAGGGCGTTGGTGTTTTAAAGATGGTTCATGGAAAGATAAGGAAGTGTTTTCTAGCCAAGGTTGGTATAGTACACTCGCAGGTTTTATTGGTTTGATGGAAGCAAGAAATGTCAGAGCTAGTCTCTCGCCTCTTTATTCTGAGGTGAAAACGCTTATTTGGGCAATGGAATGTATGAGAAATTTGTGACAGTATCATGTCACTTTTGCAACATATTATTCTCAATTGGTAAAGATGGTTTCAGAACCAAAGAATTGCCAGCTTTTGTAACTTATTTGGAGGATATTAAGATGCTCAAGAAAAAATTTCACAGTTCAGAGTTCATCTATGTACCAAGAACGCAGAATTTACGGACGGATAATCAGCATGCAGTGCTAGAAAATAATCGTGTTTTGTTGTTCACGTGGATGCAGCGCTATCGGTTTGAATTGCAGAGTCAACATGAATTTGTTGTTAAGTCGATGTCAAAAAAAAAAATTTAAGAGATTTAAAATCTATGAGCCAATAATAAAGAAATTTCAAAATTTTCAAAATTTTCAAAGTTGATCTCAATAAATTTTTCTAAGAAAAATTAATTAATTTTAACAAAATAAATATATAATTTTTAAGTAAAGCGAACAAGAGATCTAAGAATAAAATTTGGAAGAGAACACTACCAGCTAAGATCAAGCATTTCTTGTGGAGGTTATTATCAAAGGGTCTTGCTTCTGGAAGTAACCTGAAACGAAGGCATGTAATTTAAGATGCTCAAAGTAGAAGATGTTGTCAATATGACGAATCAGAATCACTAGTTTTTTGAAGTGTGACTATGCTAAACAAATTTGGCGAACATCAGGATTGCCAAATGGGACCATTATGGAATCCAATGCTGCTTTAGAAGAAAAGATAGAAGCATGTCTGGTTAGTTGCTCGTCTGCAAGATTTGTTCACTTACAAGAACTTCCAGTATGGATCCATAGGAGGATATGGAAAAATAGAAACAGCTTTGTGTTCCAACGAAATGTAAAAGACGATATTAAAATGTTAGCCACACAGGCATTTTAGATTATTTTCCCCTTAACGACAAGTACTGTAACCTCCATCCACCGCCAAATTCTGACCACTGATATAAACCGACTCATCAGAAGCCAAAAACAGAGCCACTTGTGCCACGTCACGAGCGTTAAGCACCACACCCTTGAGAACCCCCTTGGCCGCAAACTCTTCCTCCACCTTCCTCGCCGTTTCCTCGTCATGGCTAGTCAACGGCGTTGCCAGCGCGTATGGTGCGACACCGTTGACTCTAATCCCATACTTCCCCAGCTCTCCACACGCCGTTCTGATCAGCCCGAGAAGTCCGTGTTTAGACGCCGTGTATCCGTGACGTCTCCCACCACCTATCTCCGACGACACACTCGTCGTACACACGATAGACCCACGTGTTCCTTTCTCCACCATCACACGTGCCACGTGTTTGATGAACGCAGCCGCGCCACGAACGTTAACCGCCATTATGCGGTCAAGCCGCTCAAGATCCAAGTCTAGGATGCTTCCCCGGGGATCCAAGATGCCGGCGTTGCTGAACAGGACGTCAAGTTTTCCGTGCTTTTCGACCGTGAACTTAACGGCGTTCTCCACTTCCTTCTCTTCCGTTACATCGCAACGGTAGAAACTGGCTCTGTCTTTCCCGATTGAAACGGCGACGTTTTGACCTAGCTCCTCTTGTATATCGACTATGACCACTTTAGCTCCGTGGTCAGTGAATAGCCTAGCTGATTCGGCTCCTATCCCGCTGGCTCCGCCTGTTATGATTACAATTTTGCCATCCAACCTTTTCGTATATTTAGACAAGTAAATGAATCAATCAACATTCATTTCATGTCTACATGTAAGTAAACATGCAGGGTTAAATAGTGAGATATGACGCACTTGCCTTAGTTCCGACATTGTTGAGGGAGTCAAAAGGATGTCTACACGGAGATATAGTGTGGAGGGAGTATATATACGCTAATACGCACGTTTTTAACCAAGGTCGAGTACTTTTATCAAAACTCACTAGTGCCGTTACTGCTTTTCTTTTTACTTTTACGATAATGGGCACGTTTTTTTTGTTTGTTAATTCAAGTACTATATCTGACATTTTTTTCTTTTAAATATAATATACTTTTACAAACAGTACAACCGGAGCTCCGGTGAAACTGAAAATTCTAGGGTACATGGATTTGGCTACACTATAAACAGATCTGACATTTCCATCATATATACTTGTTGATTAGTCTCGGATATCAGATGGGGAAATAAAAATTTATTTTTACCTTTTATTTGATACCATTATTCATGTTTACGATCTTTATATAGATTGTGGAATGTAAGTCTTATTAGATGATAGACATTACAATATATAGTTGTCGAGTATCCTCTATGTCTAGGTTATAATCATTTACATAACAGTCCTTTCCATATCTATATATGTATCCTTGATACGCCCCCTCAAGATGGAGGGACTCTTGTAACTCCAATCTTGGACATTGCTTGAAGGAACTGTTGTCGACTGAGTGATTTTGTGAGAGCATCCGCCAACTGATCCTTAGTAGAGACGTGTGAGACCCGAATCATGATGTGGTGAATCATGTTCCTGATGAAGTGATAATCTATGGCAATGTGCTTCATTCGCGAGTGGAACACTGGGTTAGCACATAAATATGTTGCGCCAATATTATCACAATATATGACTGATGCAACAGGAACCTTGATACCGAGTTCTTGAAGCAAAGAGCACAGCCAGCGCACCTCTGATGCTGTGTTCGCGACGGCTCGGTACTCAGCTTCCGTAGAAGATCTGGCAACTCCATTTTGTTTCTTTGATGACCACGACACTGGAGTAGACTCAAGATATATAATATATGCATTTGTTGAAACGTAGTCGTCACTGTCGCCTGTCCAATCCGCATCCGTAAATGCATGAAGAGTAAGTGATGAGCCTGCTTTCATGTATATTCCATGACTCTGAGTTCCAGCCATATAACGAAGCACCCTCTTAACCGCCTGCCAGTGAAACTCCGTCGGCTGGTGCATAAACTGAGACAAGCGGTTAACTGCATACGAAATATCTGCTCTGGTGAATGCAAGATACTGTAGACTTCCAACGATCGACCTATACTGCGACGCATCAGCGAGAGGAGGACTATCGTGTAAAGTTAACTTCGGTGTAGTCTGCATCGGAGTCGAGACAGTCTTGACATCGACCATGTTAGTGCGGGTAAGTAAATCTAGAATATATCTACGTTGCATGAGATGAACACCTGTAGCAGATCGAGTGACTTCAATTCCCAAGAAATAGTGCAAATCAACCGGGTCCTTGATTGAGAACCTTTGTGCCAGCGAGTGTAGAACCGCAGAAACAATCTTCGGATTACTCCCTGTAACAATCACATCATCAACATAGACAAGTATGTATGTGTAGTGAGCACTGGTTTTGTGAGTGAAGAGAGATGTATCGGCCAATGAGTTTTGAAATCCAATGTCGAGAAGATGTTTCTTGAGCGACATATACCAGGCCCGTGGAGCCTGTTTCAGTCCGTAGATAGGTTTCTTTAACTTACAAACATAGTCCGGTCTATCAGTGTCGACGAATCCAGGGGGTTGTGTCATGTAGACTTCCTCCTGCAAATCCCCTTGTAGAAAGGTGTTATTCACGTTTAGCTGTTTGATCTGCCACCCTTGAGTTACCGCAATATCCAAAACCAGGCGAATTGTTGTAGACTTAACGATAGGACTAAATGTTTCACTGTAATCAACACCATATCGCTGTGTGTGTCCACGCGCAACTAGGCGAGCTTTGGGTCTTTCCTCCTCTCCATTCGCCAAATACTTTGTTGTATATATCCATCTGCAAGTAACAAGATTTTGAGACGGGTCTGACGGTATCAAATCCCAAGTTCCATATTCAATCTGAGCATCGTACTCCTTAGACATTGCCTTTCGCCACCGTTCATCTTTTAGAGCTTGAGCTACAGTACGTGGTTCTTGAGACGAATGTCACTTTGAGACTGTGAGACTGTATTTGGAGTTGGGTTTGAGAATCTTGTTCTTCGCCCTCGTTTGCATCTGATGGCAATTTTGTGGTGGTTGTCGTAGCACACCGATGTCGGGATTTTGTGGGTTCTGGGTATTTTGGTTATTTAGCGGTGGTTCATTTTGTGGTTCACTGGCTGTGGAGACACGGGTTTGGGCATTTGATGGAGAAGAAGTTTGTTGTTGGACTTCACTAGTTTCATGTATTTGGTTGGTTGTCTGGGCCGTGGGTTGCGGCGCATTTTTGTTTGGAGCAGTGGTCTCAGAAGTAGAGGGAGAAGAAGAGTGAGATTGAGAGTTAGAAGATGACGATACCTGAGTTTTTTAAGGATGCGACGGCGACGAGATTGACGATGGGTGAGGATCTAAACACGGGGATGCAAGGTGGTTCCGAGAAGCTGGATTCTGAAGAGGCACACGAGTAACTGGCGGTTGATAGATCGTCTCTGCTGTTCCTTCGTCCACACCAGAGCTCAAAGTACCAGACTTTGTGTAAGTCTGAAAAGAAAATATCGACTCTTGGAAGACGACATGTCGCGAAGTGTAAAGCCTTCCTGTGGGCAAGTGGAGACGTAGATATGCACTCTGGCTTGTTGAATAGCCCAGAAACACACACGACGTTGAGCGATCTTCCATTTTGTGCTTTGTGTATGGTCTCAGCCAAGGAAAGCACTGACAGCCGAAGACTCGAAGACGATTGTAGTTGGGGGCTTTGTCGAACAGCTTCTGATATGGCGATTGATAGTTCAGATTCGGAGTAGGCAATCTATTTATCAAATAAATTGCAGCTGCAAAAGCAAAGGGCCAGTAGGTCTTTGGCATCATCGCTTGAGACATGAGAGTGAGACCAGTCTCCACAACGTGTCTATGCGTCCGTTCTGCCACACCGTTGTGCTCCGGCGTATGCGGCGGCGAAGTCAGATGAGAAATACCATGCTCCTGAAGGTATAATTTCAAAGCCAGAAACTCACCTCCATTATCAGAAATAAAGTTCCAATTTTGTGTTGGAACATGTTTTCAACTAGTTTCTTGTAGGCTATGAATATCTCCTTGACTTGGGATTTTAGTTTTAGAGGATAAAGCCATGTGTATCTGGTATAGTGATCAACAAAAATAATTAAGGTAGTATTTGAATTGATCTGTGGATAGAATAGGGGATGACCAGACATCTGTACAAATAATTTCAAGAGGTTTCGTAGAAGATATACTGGTAGTAGAGAATGAAAGTTTATGGCTTTTATTAATCAAACAATCTGAGCAAGATAATGTTTTATGAGAAAGCTGTGAAACAGGAAGAGAGAACTGAGAAATTGTTTTGTTTAAAATGGAAATAGAGGGATGACCCAAACGAGAATGCCAAGAAGATAAAGTAGCCACAGGAGATGGTGAAGCATAGAGATCCGCAGGTACTGAGCTGACTGTCGGCCACTGATACAGTTGAGCTCTAGTGCTGACTTGAATTAACCGGGTCCTTGTGTTCAGATCCTTCACCTGAAAAGAGGATGGAAAGAATTCCATAGAGACATGGTTAGTGTTGCAGAGACCATACACTGAAATCAGGTTCTTATCTATCTTTGGCACACACAAAACATCACTTAGCACAAGATTTTTATTAGGAGAGGGAAGTGTAAGAGAACCCGTGTGTGTGATGGATTGATTTGAACCATCAGCAATGGTGACTGCCTCACCTCCTTCATATGGTTGATGCAGGGACAGGTTCTGAAGATCAGAAGTAATGTGATGTGTTGCACCACTGTCAAGCAACCAGTTGTTGGCTGTGTATGGAGTTGTGGCCGCTACATTAGCTCGTGGCTGTCCCTGCCAAGGCGTGAAAGGAGACTGAGCAGCAGCTTGGTACGTCTGAAGCTGAGGACATTTCCTGGCTCCATGACCTTGAGTGCCACATATCTGACATTTTCCAAGGTAAGGTCTTGAACCACGATGTGGCTGCTGCCAAGTTGTGTTGTTGTACTGAGGCCTCGGCTGATTGTTGTAGTGATTGTTATGACCCTTGTTCTTGTTTTGGTATGAACCCTGACCTTTGTGTTGAGCAATATTAGCAGAAACAGGAAGAATGGACTCATTGGTGGTGGACGCAAGCTTGGCTTCATGGTGTAGCAGCTTTTCGTGAATCTCCGTCAGGGTTGGAGGTGTCTCACGGCCTTCAATCTGGTCAACGACTGGCTTGTATTCAGCAGGTAAGCCCTCAAGCATAGCGTCGATTTGATCCTCATGATCCATACGTTTACCTAGAATAGCAAGTTGATCCACTCTAGTTGTAATACCTTGCACATAGACATCAATTGTCTTGGTTTCTTTCTTCCACAACTCAAGTTGATTCCTCAAGTTTTTGATGTGGGCACGGCTAGGTTTGGCGTAAGTAGAGGCGAGAGTCTCCCATACTTGAGCTGTAGTGAGTGCTCTGGACACCAGCGGTTGAAGTGGAAGGCTGATAGCACCCAAGAGGGCGCTGTATAGCAGTCGATCTTGCATGTTCCAGATCGTGTATTCTGGATTTGCTGTGGTTTCACCTTCTACAGTGATTTGAGCTGATGGTATCACGGAGGATCCATCAAGATGACCAATAAGGCCATATCCATCTACCAAAGCGTGGACTTGGAGACTCCACATGAGGTAATTTGTTGCTGAGAGTTTCGAAACATTAGACATGTTTATGTTGAGGATAGTTTGAGTGTTTGGGTTGGTGTTGATGACATCGGTGAATGTTGTAGAGTTGGTCGGAGAAGCCATGGAGATTGGCGTGAGAAAAATAAAACTTGGAGAAAATTTTTAGGTTTGTAGGAGCGACGGCTCTGATACCATATAGATTGTGGAATGTAAGTCTTATTAGATGATAGACATTACAATATATAGTTGTCGAGTATCCTCTATGTCTAGGTTATAATCATTTACATAACAGTCCTTTCCATATCTATATATGTATCCTTGATACTTTAGATTAATATTTTTAAAAATATTTAAATATGACATTTTATTAAAGAATCAAAAATATTTATACTTTTAATTTATAAATATAAATAATTATTTAAATAAAAAAATTATGTTTTCGAATTATAACTTCTCAAATTCAAAGATTTATTTTTTTCAATTCTTTTTTGAATGTTTAAAAAAAAAATATAATATTCTTTCTCAAATTCAAAAATACTTTTTACAAAAAAATTATTTTTTAAATTTTTTTTCTAAATTTTATCTTCCAAAATCTCACCATTATAATACAAACCTAGGTGTATATTATTTAACCCAGAGTTGTAAGTGTCTATTTACTTCTTGACAACTAAATGCAAATATGATTAATATAAAAATGAAAATGATACTAAAAATATCAGTTAAGAAAATTTCCCTATGTAAAAGGAAAAGTGAATAAAATTCTAAATTTAGGCATGTTCGTAACTACAGTAGTACAATATAATGTTTCAGTCTTTTATTATTTGGCATCTAGAGATTTTATTTTGTTTCACAAAAATAAATATATATTTTTACTTTTCACAGAAAATTTAGGAGTTTTTATGTATAACCATCTTATATATTAAAACATAAGTTATCACTTCAATTCATATGTGATTTTTTTTTTAAATCTGAACCATCACTTAAATTTTTATTAGATGTAATTTACCAAGATTAATAATATATACTTTAATCATAATATTTTGGATATATTTTCATTTTAAATATAAATCTATCTATTTAAATATTCTAACAAATCTTTTTAAAAGATTTTTACAAAATCTTTATTTTCGATATTATCTTTAAATATTTTCACGAATTTCAAAAATAGTTTGAAATATTATTATACATTAATATAGTCAGTTAAAGTTTAGAAAAAAAAATTATATCATATTATCTATTATATAATCAATCATATTAAGAGAAAACTATTATATTGAGCTAAATATTATAAAATTGTATTTAATTGATAATTTTATATTTATTTTCGTAAGTATAAAATATTTTATGTTCAAAAATAAAATCAAATATGCTGGTAAAATAGGTTAACATAGAAAACTATATAATACATGTATATAAATTAACATGTATTTAATTAGAGCTAATAATATAAAATCTGTGTAACTATTTTAATCATGATAACTTTTCATTTTAAATATAAAGATATATTTATATTTATATTTATATATTAAAATTTTAAAATTCAAAAAAATCTGTGTAAATATTTTTTACAATAACTTAATGAAGTTTACGTTATCGTTTATAGAATGAAAAATTCAAATTATATCCTATCTATTTATTTTATAGTCATAATCATCATGTTAAAAGATAATTATTTTATTGAACTAAATATGATAAAATTATATTAAATTAATAAATTTCTAAATTTTATTTTTATAAATATAATATATTTATTTTAAAAATATAATATGATGACAGAATAACTTAAACTTAGCAAACTATATAATACATGTCTACAAATTAACGTATCTTAGACTTTTGTATATTGATAAAGGAAAATTCAACTTTGAAGGACGGGTTAGAATTTACTATAAATATAATACAAAATAATTTTCAAATATGTTTTCTCATGAATATATTAATTTTCTTAATAACTAAATGCAAATACAATAATATAAATATACAATAAGAAGTGACAAATAAATATGGTTTTAAGTAATTAATTAATATAACATATAAATTATAAAATTTTATTTTAAATACTTATATAAACTTTAAATATATGATTAAAGTTAAAAATGAAAACAACTGCGCGGATCAAAATCTAGTTTATATCTTACAGTTTATTCTATTATTGGCTGTAACGTATTTAAATAAATAATTAATAATGCTCTTGTTTGATTTTGCAGTAGATTTTAGATTTTGAAAAAACATGCTTTGTGATTTTAGTTTCTAACTTTCGGTTTTTGTTTTATAAATTAATAAAATATTTATTTTAAATTTTACGTTTTTTTATTTTGCTACTAAAATTAAAAATTAATAATACGAAGTATTACCACTTAAACTACAGTTTTTTTATTTATTAAATTATTTTAAAATAAAAATAATGCAATCTAAATAGATGAACCATAATCATATATATCTATTACAATACATAATTAAAGCAGCTAAAAAGACAAGAAATAATTAAATTAAAATTTTAAACAAAATAAAAATTAGTTTTATTTTAAAAATATTCTGAATTCAAATATTATAAAACAAATATCAATAGTTAGATTTTCAAAGTTTATTTAATTATAAACATATAAATAATTTACAATTGATAGTTAGTTTATTATTTAAACATACTAAATGAAATTTAATTATATTTTTATAATTTTGGAAAACTGTATAAAGTATGTAAATATATTTTGAATCCTGAATTTTAAGATTTCCTTTGTATTTTTGGTTTTTCTAAAATTTAATTAATGGTTGTTTGGTCTGTTATTTTTTTTAAAAAAAATTAACTTGGAATTTAATTTTTTAAACAAAAATTGAAGTTTTAAATAACTAATTTATTGTAATTAAAAAGTTTTAGTAATATTCTTAGTATCAAATATTTTCATATTACATTAAGTAAATGATTTTTACTAAACCTTATTAGGTGATAGTAATGTATCATTTGTATATTGATTTTCTTATATTACTGCATAAATACAGTAAAAACTCTATAAATTAATAATGTTAGGATTTTGAAATTTTATTAATTTATAGAGATATTAATTTACATAAATTTCCCTTTTTAGATTTTTTCTATTTTTTCAATACTTTATTGAAAATATTTTATTTACCGTATGTACATTATTTAAATTTTAAAAATTTAACTTTCATTATTTTATTATCATATTTGGTGTATACTTTTATATTTTATAGAATTTTTATGTGGTTTTCGATATAATTTTACTAAATATTATCAAAATATATTGAAATGTTAACAAAAATATAAGTATTTTCATTGTGAATATAAAACCAACAATATAATGTTTAGTTTGTACTTATATATATATATATATATATATATATCTAAATTATTAATTTAGGATATTAATGGGTCTATATATTTACATGAGAGTTTTAAAAATATTATTATCTTATTATTTTATCGATTTGTGTCATATTTTACACCGGCCCAAGTTGGAATCGTTAAAATTTATTAATTTATAGAGATTATTAATTTATCGAGTATTAATTTATAGAGGTTCTATTGTATAGTAAAATTATTATTTAAAGAAAAAAAAACTGAAAGAACCAACGTAAGCTTAAAAAAACCATGAAAACTTGGTTTTTGGTTTTTGTGTTAAAAAGTAGTTATCTGAAATAACTAGTTTTTCTATATTATAGGGAATCCATTTTGTGAAAATCTTGATTGGAGAAAAATGGTTTTTGGGAAAACAAAAACTAAAACAATCAAGGCTGTATATGACTGATAAATTTTGGAGTAACAAAAGTAGACAATTTTCCCTTTTAATTTTTTATTTTAAAAATTACAACGAGTCACCTGTAAGTATGAGAAAGGTTGAAAATCATTAAAACTTGCATCTCAGAATTGTGTTCCACATCATTGGAGGAGAAGCTCGTCACATTATACAAAGAAGAAGTGTAGAGATAATGCCATAGAGAAAAGCCTAAATATTTCATTGTATGTAAAATTGGAAGTGTTGATAACACACACTCACACAAACTCACTCAATATTTACACATCCCCCTTCTCCCTCCCAAAACTTATACACAAGAAGTTTTAACATTTTCTGCATTAAACCAGGGAAGAACTCAACAGCTACTGCTTAAGTCTATCTAATACTATTTCCTTCATATCACAAAGCTGAATCTTCAGTAGATAACGCCAGATTCCAGCTGCTTTTGTAACCTATCCGAGCAACAAAGTTTCTTCCTAAACTAAAAGACTGTTTCCAACGCACTGTCTTGTCTGATGATGAACTAAATGGAAAGTTCTCTAACTTTATGTCAAAGAATGAGTAAAGAAGTCCCGAACAGAGAGCGAGGACTGCCAAAGGCAACTCAAGGAGGTCGAGAGAGAGTAGAGAACATGAACATTTTGTGTTTCAGTTCTCACTGTACACACCTTTCTTAAGTTTCTCGTTCTCTGCCTCCTTCTGTACTCTTCTCTTTTCAAACTCGACTTGCTTGCAGTTCTCCTCATGTGACCGTACAAATATTCTAACAAAGTTTTGCAGGGTGGATACAACTGCAGATTCAAAATCAAACACAAGGAATTTGTTTCTCATAGGTTAAGCCAGACACAGAAAGGACACAACTCCAAAACCCAAAAGGAGAATATGCATAGAAAAGAAACTGAATAGGTTGTTGAGTTTGCATTGAAATGTTACCTTGTTCAAATGGGACACGAGCTGGATCCTCTCCGAAATATAACGCTAAAGCATCGGCGCTTCCACCCTAAGACATCCATGAGAAAACCCAACAGATAAGTAAAACCAAGCTTTTTGAATATTGAAAGTAAAATGCTGCAGAAAAGTAATAAAGAAGGGACTCCTACCACAGTAGAATAAAGAGAAGCCAAGGACCTGACTTCCCCTTCGGCAAAACTAAGAAACTCTTTCAAGTTCTGCATTGCATAAACAAGTACAAGGTTAAGCAGATGATAAAACAAGAGGAATCATTTCTCAAGTATCTAATTTAACATACCATACGAAAGTGTTTTGATACTGGACCATCAGTTTCAGATGTAGTGAATTCCTGCACAACTTTCTCCAACCCTTTCCTTATCGCTTGCATCTCCTCTGCTAGATATTTTAGTTGGATCTGTCATCAAAGAAGATTGCCAGCATTATCACTGAAGGCTCGGACAAGTGTTTCTAAAAAAAAAATTAAAAGCAAACTACCTTTGTTGCAGCCTCCAAGCTCACCAGGTCTTTTGGAAAATCAAGTAGTTCGGGAAGTTTTTCGGCGAGTACCTATAAACACGTGCATTGCATTAGAATCTTTTCTGAGAGGAGAAAGCATTAGCATAACATAATAAGATAAATACTACCGCATGCTAAGGACAAATAGATTTTAACATTAAACCAAGGGAGAGAAAGAGTGGGAAACGATTGAAAAAAGCTCCTACCTTACAGAGATAGTGCATCAGAGTCATCTTACTGTTGCGGGATCTAGTGTCAGTGAGTTTCAGAAGACTATCCAAACGAAATCCGATAGCTGAGCCTGTCAAAAGATTATGTACAAAAGATATCAAACTATTGAATAGACCAATAATTCATTAAAATAAATACTCTTTTGCAGAGTGAACGCAATAGATATATTCTCACCCCTTGCAGTCCCGTGGTTCAAGGCATTGCCCAAGGAAAGTATAGTTTGCATGATTCTTTTTAGTTTAGCTGAGCCTCTAACCTGGAAAGTGTAACATGCAACAAAGTCAAGAGTGGAAAATCACCAGCATGAACCTGTGTGGGTCACAAACTATTTGCACGAAAAATAAATTGACTTGCCTCATTGGCTGCACTATGTATGATATTCAAGCCTCTTCTAAGATCAGTAACCTGAAGGGAAATAGATCATGCTTAGAAAAATAAGATCCAAAATTTTACAAACTTGAAAGCATTTAATACAGATACAAACTCCAGTTGATTCTCTTACCTGAGAATAGAACTGAATCTTGTACGAGAAAACCCTTAGCTTGGTCTCGACTCGAGGAACTTTCAGCAATTCTAAAAAGAACTATCACAAAAAAAGTCAGAGAATAGCTGTCAGCACGGAACTGAGAGAAGATTGTTCATTCCTATCTTGTTTTTGGTTGTTGCTTTGTTTTATATTTTATTTTCTTATAAGAAATGTGGATGCACCAGACCAACCTGCTCACACCGTCCCAAATTTTCCTTATCGCCGGTGTAGCCCTACGGAAAGAAAAAAAAAGAAAGGATTAAATCTTGTATTATATTTTATACGCGTCAGTGTATTCACAAAAGAAGCAGAAAAAAAAAAAAAAAAAAAAACCTTGAGTAATTCTGCTTCTTCTTTTGTTGGACAAAACTTGATCAGATTGTCAACTTGATCAACATCTATCACCGACTCATCCAATGCAAGAACAGAACTCTGTGACCCAAGATCATTCAGGTAAGCTTTAAAACATCTTTTGCATAACAAAATGATAAATTTTGCATTAAACGAGCAGTGGAGCATGATAGAGACCAAGTCAAGAACTTGCCGAGCTAAATTTTGCTAGAAAAGTTTGTACTTACCATTAAATCAGGCAAAGGTATTTTAACTTTGGAGAGCATGATCTCACAGTTGTATGCTCGTCTGAGCTCAATCTGCAAAACTAACAGACCAAGTTAGTTGGAAAAAAAATAGAGTGTCTGTCAGCTATATTCTAACAGATGTATCAGTGGATCTTTATTTCATGCTCATTGCAACAATTACCAGCTGGACTTTCTGAACTTTAGGCCGGCCACGTCGACCTGATTTCCCACCTTTATTTTCATTGTCGGAACTAGGAATCGCTGCTGAGAAGAGTTTCTCTAGCTCAGAGATGTCGAACTCTGGAGCACTAGAATTGGAAGGACACAGTTAGAAGATGCCGGAGCTAATATAAGAAAGAAAATCACAAACTTGTATGAACGAAAAACTAAATATTCATACGTAGCAGCTTCATCAGGTGTCTGCTGCGATTCAGCCCATAAACTTCCTTGCAATGCCCTTGTAAGCTTCAACCAATGATACGGTTTCAAGTTGGCCTTTCTTGTTTGACCCTGACCTTTAAGGCTTGTCTGTAACATCCCACGCCCCTTTAAACCCAATGGTGGTCCAGGGACTGGAGGAACATTTCCATTACAACCACCGTTTTGAGAACGAAACAGAGTTGAAGGGGCTGGTGGAGGAGGAACAGGAGGGACAGTTCGAAGTGGTACAGCTCTGGAAAGAGGTGGTGGTGGTGGAGGTGGAGCGTTAGATGTGGGTACCACTTTCTTTGGAGGTGGTGGTGGTGGAGGAGGAGCTTTAGATGTGGTTACCACTTTATTTGGAGGTGATAACGGTGGTGGCGAAGGAAAAGATGGCTGTGCAGAACGGTGAGGTTGTGGTGGAGGTGGAGGTGGAGGTGGAGGTGGAGGCTGTGGATGTGAAAGAGTGGAACGCAGAGAGGATGCAGGAGGTTGGGGTGGAGAAGGAGACAAGAACTTGAGTGGCTTCAACAATGGCATTGTTGCTGGCGTCACAACTGCTTCTGCTGGGGGAGAGCCATTTGAAGGTACAGCTGTGGACGACTGTTGTGGAGAAGCGTTAAGTATGGACGGTGTCAGTGGATGCAATGTTGGTTGAAACGTGATGGAAGGTGATGATGAAGTAGCCTCTTCACCTTTACCTGGACTATGATCGTGTAATATTGAAGTGATCCCAAGGTTAGAGGGGGAGCCGTGAAATCTGGATACTGAAGCAGGTGATGATGCTTGTGTGGGGCTACGATTTAAAACTGGTGACGTCCCTGAACTTTGGAGCAAGCGAGGTGAAATTATCTTCGACTGAGCTTGTCTTTGGACAGAAACTCGGAGTCCATTCTGTTCATCAACCTTCTTGATGAGTGAATTCGGATCTGCATAAGATCTATGACAGGAATCTGTGTCTTTCTCCTTCCACACCGGAGAGAATGAATCAGGACTTACAGCAACACTCTCCGATATCATCAGCTTGGTTTTCTCCCTAACTTTTTCAAGCGCCGATTCCAATAGGCTACGTGAATCAGGGCTTCGAGGGGAACCTGAATCCAAGCTTTCTTGAAGGATATTTGCTGCTGTAATTTGGTTAAAAACCGTCACAGCAACATCAGAATTTGGATCCAACCATTCACCATCACTAAAAATCTCCTGAACCTTAGCAAATGCTTCCATAGGTAGACCATCATTCTCATCCATATGCGGCAAATCAACAGAGTCAAGACTGTTACCAGCGCCCATCTCCGAAAATATAACCTGAACAAACACACAGAATGTTACAACTTTCTTGACTTGGAAAGGGAACTGTATGGATCACACAAAAAAGTGCATTTAACAGAGATATAATTATCAAACAAAAGAAGATCAATAATCACCTCCGCTCTGAAATCTTTAGGAAACCGATCTGTTGTGTTCCACAGTACATCAATGTCATCACGGTTAAGTAGAAGGCTGTTTGATCTAAGAAATGCAGTATTGAACACAACCCGAAACATCATCTCTTCCCTCTCATGATCACTATCTAAGGTAATGCACTCAAGCACGACATCACCGAGAATATGGCAATTGATGTTAATCTTTACCAGCTCACAATCTGCCTGCAACAGTAGACAAAAAGTTAGGATGAAGCATAAGTAAAATAACACTAAGATACTGGGAGAGATTGAATGAACAAATACCTGCTTATAATGCTTAACAGCTTTGCTTCTTTTGGGCATAGAGAAAAGGACTTTTGAAGTCCGGTCGGAAGCCATAAACGGATCTTGACCATATATTCTAAATATTGGTCGGCAACCACCCTCACCATCAAAATCAGGAATCAGTCTAAGATTGATACAGTCTAGTGTAAGCGCCCGGTCTAGCGGTGGCCACTGCGAACCAACATTCCTACTTGTAACATACTGAAGAAACCTCAGTTGTGAAGGCAGAGGATTTAGTGGAGACATTAGCTGTAACAGCTCACGAGGAGCCTGCTTATAAATCATCTCTAGTGTTTTCTGTTCTCCACTAAACTGTTTGCGGTATAACAAGAGCGAAGCCAGCATAAAAGCTAAAACCGGCCAGCCACCTCGCTCACAATGCGACAACAAGATATTCTGTTGACTTAACAGTAACCAATTCTCACTTGATTTAAGAAAGTGATGAACCGTTTCCATTGTAAGCAAAGGGCAACCTTCATAATGACGAGGATAGTCCATGATGGTCATGTCATACTCAGAGAGTACACTCTCCATCAGGCTTCTGCTTTCTCCATCTCGGAAATTAAACACCATGAACGATGCACCAGGAAACTGTTCTCGTAGCTGACTCATTATGCGTCCCACATAGACTCTATACTCTTCCTCTTCCAACATATCCGTGGTTAAGCAGCAATCAAAGACTGGAAAATACAATACAACAAGGATCAGCAAACTTAAAGAGAAATCTTATGTATCTTTGTCACAAATAGTTCTATTATTAAAGAGAAATCTTTTGTAACTGTTTCCTGAGAAGTATTTTGAGAAATAACTTTACAGAATCCATGAGCTAAATCTCAACAACATCTAAAGCTATCAAATGTAGACACTAACGGTTTGAACTTAGGTTTGCCATAACTAGTTAAAATCAGGTTTCAAAGAGCTAAAGACTCAAACTTTCTAAGAACCCAACACTTAAAATCCCAAGATAAAGAGCTGAAGAGAGGATATAGAGAAGGGAGAGCGTACCGTAAACCCTCTCAGAGATCTCCACTAACCCTTCAGGAGGCTTTTTGTAGAAGAACTTTCTAAACAAAGCCATTGAGAGAGAGTTGTTCTTTAAATGCTTTACCAAAAAGCAAAGCACACACAATCCCTAGAAATAATCACCACCTTCACCAAATGCGAGCCCACATTGCAGGAAAGGGTGAAAGGATAACCCCAAATCACCAGAAAACAAAGGGGAAAAGGTCAGGAAGAAGAAGAGATTATCTGCTTGCTGGGTCTTTAAGGAACAACACGGTGTGTGTTTTCTTGTAGTTTGGTGGTTTGTCTTGACATACACACTTTCAATCTCTTCTGTTTCGGAATTGGAAACTTAGCTTTCAATCAAAACAGATGTTGATAGCTTTGCACATGCGAATAAGAAAAATAAATGATGCAGAGAGAGAGAGAGAGAGCTAGGTTATCATTTGGAGAGAGAGAGAAACTAGGGTTTTGTTTTCCTGTAATTGGAGAGCTAAGAAGAAGATGATAGCTATGTCGCAATTGAGACAGAGATTGAGGATGTCCGATTTAAGAAGAAAAAGATAGAGGAGGACCCAAAGGATCTGTTAACTTTTCGAAGGACTATGATACATGTCTTCAATATTCTTTTTTTCAGTTATCTTAGATTTGCTTTATTTACTTTCCTAAACATGGAAATATAATTAATTTCCTTGTGTTTTGGCAGATGGCATCATTTAAAAATACAGATAATCTTTGAATAAGTACACTTTAGATACCATAGTTTTTTTAGTTATAGAAAATTATAATATCTTTTATCATATACAACAAAGTTAAGATCTAAGAAAATGCCATGCTTACATCTAATCTATTAATTTAAAATACTACATTTTTTATCTAAGGTAGACAAGTATTAGTTGGATTATGATTAATTTTAATATTTACATTAATCAATCAAATATATAACAAAAATCTATTGGGAAAAAATAGATTTCAATTTTATCTTTAGTTATAATGAAATTTGTTGAAAAAAAATCAAAGACAATCTTTTTACAAATTTAAAATATTTTTGAAGAATAATGCATTACTTAATTTCGTAATTAATTCTATAATATTATTATACATTAATATTAATTACCTTTTTCTTATAAACAAAAAAATCTTTGCTGTTTTTAAAAATTTCATAATCACTCTATACTATATTAAAATAGAAGTAATATATGAATTAAATAAAAAAATTACAATTTTTATACCAATTGCGTGACAACTGGTCGAGATTTCTCTCTCAGACACGAGTTTCTAGGAGCTGAAAAGGACATTGCAGCACGAGGATTAAAGATGTCGACAACATTCCTAACTTCCCTGTTTTCGAAAATTTTTCAAATTTACCTTTTCACGGTAACACTTAAACCATACTTGTTTTCCTGAAGTAGCATCCTCCACGCAATCTTTTGTTCTTGCTCAACCAGATCTAGGATTCTCATTTGTGCTGATCTCTAATTATAGATCTCCTGCGAACGTGTTGCAAGAACTACAAGCTTACATTCGCCTCAAGTCTACTACTACTGTGAAGTAGGACCGCTCTACATTGCAATGACCGAACACCTAACTGCTGAAGAGAAAGGGAAAGGGTTAGCTACAAAAGTTATGGACCCGCATATTCAAGAGAATTAGAGCACCACTCTTGGACACAACTGCACTGACCAAAGAGAACTCTCGAACGCTAATCGGGAGACTGACAAACCCAAAAGAACAACGGATATCTACCTTCATCTCTTCTCTCCCGCGGAAATGGAATCCACAAGAGTCATAGGGTCAGATCTGGGCAACGATTGTTTCCAATTTTGTTTTGAGAAGGAAGAAGATCTACAGAGAGTTATGGAGAACATGTCTTACCACTTTGGGTACTGGATGATTATACTTGAAAGATGGAAGCCCATCATAGCCGACACGTTTCCCTCCTCCATTCCTTTTTGGATCAAGATCAAGAGTTTATTCCTTCACTTTTGGCATATGAAGATATGATCTGCAGGATTAGGAAGGAACTGGGAACACTAGAGAAACACGAACTAACAAAAATGCTGGCAAGAGTGAGAGTCGAAGAACGACCTCAAACCAGTAGTGAAAGAGACAATAATTGGGTACGAATCAGGGGAAGAAAGCAATCAACGCCTGGAAACCACTATGCTATTTGCTTACGCCTTTCACATGAACGTGAACACTGCCCCTTATGCGCTCCTGAGGAAAGAATGACTGAACATGAATACTCACAAAAGGAGATAAGAGCTGAACAGGAGACTTTCTCAACGGAGGACAACAGATACCCACATGCAAGGAAGTACTCCCCTCTTCGTAGAACTGAGCACGCACTGAAAAGAAGAAGTAGCAGGGAGTTCAGACAGAGGGTCGATACGCATGGTCAAACTTTTGGAGAGAAAATCAGTACAAGACACACCCGTAATCCTCCACTAGTTCAGGAACAACCTCTAGCTTACCCTGCTCAGAGAAGAAGGAGTGAGGGGATTCTTAAACAGCAAACAGAGTACACCTCTCCCCCCATATGCGAAAAGCAGAAGGCATCACCCATACGAATCATCTCACAAGAGATCATTGTTCCCTACTAGAGAGACGAGGGAGTGGAGAAGAAAAACAACTATTGATGTCGAACAAGAATTCAACTCGCCGAATCCCACTCAGCAACATGAGTAGTGTGGAACTATTACAGCACCTGAACAACAAGAGCTAATGGGCGCTGAGAGACAACAAATGCGAGAGCAAATAATGGAGGATATAAATAAAGCTACACAACAATACCTTAGCTGTGACAACCCCACATAGGCAGCAGCAAGGAGGATCAGAGTGCTAACTAGTGAAACACGAGGCCAAGTTGAGGAGACTGTGGAATCGATGCTGGCTAAGAGGATCTTTCCATCAATGGCTAACATTCATGCAGGATAAGGGACCCATACCTCACATTACCAGATAAGGGAAAAACTAGTGGAAGAGCTCCATGATGTTACCTTACAATACCTGAGTTGTGCCGATCCCACTAAAGCAAGAGCTAGACAACGCAAAGTACTTGAAGGAGACGCCCAAGGCCAGATTGGAGACAGTTGCAACAGGAATTTTAGTTGCAAATAATCATGCTCCAGTGGCCCCAGACCCATCATTAGCTGATTCAACAGTTTACCAAAGGACCACGGGCCCTCTTCCATCAAATGAGGATAACCACTTGGATGATAACCAAGCAAATCACATTGGGGACATGACAACACAACTAGAGGTGCCTGAAAGTGATGGCCCACCGCGAAGAAGAAGAGGGAGATCTGCTAGAAGCCAAACATGAATAAGTGTAAGCCCCAATGTGCTGTTGGGCACTAGTTCAAGAAACAGACTTATCTCTACTCTAAGAGCATCACCTGGGAGAGGAAATTCCAGGGAACAGGTCTCCGCACAGGGTCAAACTGCTGAAGCAGGGCCCTCCTACCAGAGGAGAAACCCACCTATCCAATTGATCCATGTGTCCACGAGGAGGAAGGAGGATTTTCGGGTTGCTCCACCTCGGGCTCCTTAGTCATTGCAAGATGGAATTGTTGTGGATTGGGGAATCCTGCAACAATCCAGCGTTTAAAGGAGATGAATAGAAGGAACAAACCTGATATTATCTTCCTAATGGAGACAAAGAATCCAGATGAAAAAACCCTAAAAGACCTACAATGGCTGAACCTAACTACTATACGGTGCCACCAGAGACACCAAGAGCAGGTGGTCTTTTCCTATACTGGAAAAATGAAGTCGAGCTCACTGTATTATCCTCAACTAAGGGCTACATAGACACACTTATCTCGACCAAAGGAATCCCCTTTCATACCACATTTGTTAATGGAGAACCTGAGCAACTGAGAAGACAAGAGTTCTAGAACACTCTGTCTAACCTACATACGGATAACAATACCCCCTGATTCCTCACATGTGACTATAATGAGATCATAGAAAATTCAGAGAAGTGTGGTGGTCCTGACCGAGCAGAAGGGTCCTTCGGGGTTTTCCGATCTTTCCTCTCCAGAGATGACCTTTTTAATCGTAAACATTGTGGCAGCTTCCTATTGTGGAGAGAAAAAAAGGCATACACACCTAGTCCAATGTCGTCTGGAAAGAGCTGTGTGCAACACAGAATGGTAAGATCTCTTTCCGTCATGTAGGAATTACGACGAGAATGCTTTCTCCGACTTCCACCAGACCCAAGGTCATTCCACCATCATCTGCAAAGTTCTCAGAGTAAGGCTGACTGCTAAACTTCTAGCTGGAAAACTCTCCGAGATTTTGAATGTCAAGGACCTTATCCGCAACTCAGACCGCCCTCTGGGAACTGACAAAAACCCGCAGGCATAAAATTATCCTCGAGCAAATCAGTCGGGTGAAAAACATGGAAGACGGCATGATGAACGAGAAAACAACGAGAACCACTGCAGGGTCAACATGATCATCAGATGATCGCAATACTACATCGACACCATTTTATCAATCAAGTCCTATCAGCGTAAAGCCGAGACAAGCATGAACTGGTCTACACAACTTCCTAAGGATTGAAACACTGCGATAACCTTGAAGAAGCTGAAACCGCCGGTATCGACCAACCGCATGCCGATCCTCTCGTCATTGATCTGGTAATAAGGGACGTCAAGGTCACTCGAATCCTAGTCAATACTGGAAGTACAGTCAACGTAATCTTCCGCGACACCTTGACTCGGATGGGCGTTGAACTCAGCGAAATTGAGCCGAATCCTAAGCCGCTTACCAGTTTTTCCGATGAGACATCAATGAAACTCGGATCAATCAAAATACCGGTAGCATCAAAGGAAGTCACTAAGATCGTGGCTTTCGTCGTCGTCGACCTTCCCGCGGTATACAACATAATCATTGGTACACCCAGGATAAACGCCATGAAAGTAGTCCCGTCGACGTACCATCTAGGCATCAAGTTCCTGACTCCCATGGGAGTTGCAGCCATTTGGAAATATCAGAGACAGTCGCAATCTTGCTTCTTGGCCGAGCACAAGCTAAGGCAACACGCGGCCATCGCGGTAGTACAACCGAAATGGGCAAAGTCTAATCCGCCAAACGCGGACAGCAAGCCCAAACACAAACTCTGGCGATGCTAGGGATCAGCAAGCTCCTGAGCCTAACGCCCTTACCCAACCAGAGGAGACAAACCCGGACCAAGACATCGACTCAGTGACTAAGACAGTCGAGTAAAAACACTCGCACAACAATCCGAACTACGAGATGGCTTGATCCTCTAAAAGGTTACGTAGGCAGCTCGCCTAAAGACGAGTTCAGCTATCCCCCTCTCTAAAAAGGGGGGGGGGAGTGGGTACATATACGAGTACTCATATACTCCCATATTCCAAAATATTTACTTTGTACTCAATATTTTTAAAACATTTCAATAAAGGAAAAGTTAAAATATCGCAAGTTCTACTTCAACAAATTTTCAGAAACAAGTAGAGTAGTTTATCGTAAACGGAACTTTACCT